TGGGCGGCACTGGGATATGGAGCTAGAGAGCTGGAGAGGGCGAGAGGAGCCCGAGGAGGACTCTCTGACAGCTTCACAGCTGCAGACGGAGCCCTCCAGCACCCCCATTTCCCCGCAGCCCCCCCTCAAATTCCCTGAGCCCCTGCTGTGGCTGCCAGGGTACCCGAGTGCATCCCACCAGCCGGGGAGCGATCGCCGTGCAAGACCCCCGGCTAGCTCGCCTGCAACACAAAACCCCAGCAAATTTAAAAAAAAAAACAAACCAACAGCAACTACTTTGCCTCCTCTCTCAGATCTAACAATTTTTCCTCCTTCGTTCCCAGCCTCTTCATTTTTCTGGTTTTGCTTAAATTCAGAGAGCTGCGGGATTCCCCTTTCCTCGGGCGCTGGAGGTAAATCCTGCCAGAGGTCTGACTGCAATCGCTTCCATCCCTCCGGAGCAGGACGGTGGGGAAGGAGACTTGTGTTTTGGGGTACTCAAGCCTGCGGCGTACCCCACTTTCCCTGTGCCCCTCCAGGCTGGGGCTGCCACGGCGGCAGCACCCACAACAGCACAGGAATCGTTAGGAGGGACCGAAAGGAGGCGTTATCCAAAATTCACGTAACAGTCAGGCTTCGAATTCCATCCAAAAAAGGGGAATTTTCTTGAATTCCCGTTAAACATCACAGGAAAGTTCATATTAAATTTATCAGCTATCAACTCTACTTCATCTTATTCCCAAGGGTCCCCATTCCCAATTCGATCCCTCCTTCGGAAACACACCCTCACCGCGAACAGAACCGGACTTGGGTCTCACTTTGCTTTGGGTTTTTGTCGCTGCAGGAAAATGTTTGCTCGCCCACCCTTTCGAGGCAGACGAGAAGAAAGCCGACCCCTGCCACCATCCCAAGCAGCGACAGCGGAGAAAACCCCGAGTTTTATTCTCCCAAGCTCAGGTGTTTGAACTGGAGAGGCGATTTAAGCAACAGAAATACCTCTCCGCTCCGGAAAGGGAGCACCTCGCCAGCGTGCTCAAGCTCACCTCCACGCAGGTGAAAATCTGGTTCCAAAACCGGAGGTACAAGTGCAAGAGGCAAAGGCAGGATAAATCCCTGGAGCTGGCTGCCCACCCGCTGCCCCCGCGGAGGGTGGCAGTGCCCGTGCTGGTCAGGGACGGCAAACCCTGTCTTGGGGGCTCCCAGCCTTACCCAGCCCCATACAGCATCACCGCCAGCCCTTACTCCTATAGCTCCTACTACAGTGCCTATAGCAGCAGCCCGTATGGTGCTAGCTACCGGGGGAACTATGCCGCGGTGCCCCCCAACACTACCCCCGGCAGCTCTGCCATGAAAGTGAGCTTGGGCATGGCCAGCGCTGCTCAGCACCAGCCCGCATGCTTGCAAGCCACCGTGCAAGCAGGGATCAGGGCTTGGTAGATGGCCATGGAGGTCAGGACCTCCTGAAAAGCAACGAGGAAAGCCCCCCTCTGCTCCGGAGCCCAGCCTTCTTCGGGACGGGAGCCGAATCCGGAGGGTTTCTGCCATCCCAGACAGTGGGACGACTCCGGAGCATCCGTCCCCTCCAGGCAGCTCGTGTGGTCACGTCTCTGCAAAGGCAGGTCAGGAGAGAAGGGGACACTCTGGTGCTGTGACTTTGGGGACCCAATGACTGAGGGCATTTATTTATTTAAACACAAATGTTTCGGAGTCTGGCCCTTCCCGCTCCCAGAGGGTTTGCTCCTCCAGGATGTCAGTGCACGGCCATCAAGAGGGGATGAACACTGCTTGTCTTCCTGAGGGCAACTGGAAAACAGGGCCTGTGCACATCGCTTGTGCATTCACTTTGTTATGAACACTATTTAATGCTTTGAGTTCCTCTAATCTTTTGAGATACATTTCTGATTTATATTCTTAATATCTTCCCAGCACAGGTGTTAATTTCTGTCTTTATTATTATTATTTGCAAATAAAAACCAAACCGGTGAAATTGTGTGTTTTCCCTCGCTCGCCATTCCTCACTTAGTATTTTGACTTTTCCCATCCACACTTTGCATTTGAGCATCAAAATCTGATCCAAAGAAAAAAACCCACCAACAAAATCAATCTTAATACTAATAATTAGCCCAGTAAGATAATTGCCTTGTAGTCCAAGCTTGGGGAGCTCCCAGGGTTTAACCCCCTCCCTAACTCTTGGCAAGTGTTTTCAGCTCCCTGTTGCTATTTCCTTACTGGTAAAATGGGTTTGCAGGTACATCGTGGGGCAGCTGCGAGGGGCAGCTCCGTCGTTACGGGGTCGCACGGTGGGTCGGTGTCATCTGAATTACACCAACGCCACCGGTGCTGAACCCCAAATCAGGATCCATCGGCATCAAGTGCCTTGCTGGATCAAAGGACTGTATGTATATTTTTATATATCTCTCTATACATATATATTAATGGAATGCAGGAGGGCTGAATGCCATTGCGGTGTCCCGGGGCAGACCAAAGGGGAGCACAGCCACATCCCAAACAGGCGGCACGAATGCACGGCCTCACACTTACAGAATAAACCCAGTGAGACCTCGTTAGACCGACCCACTCATCAGGCTGCCCATGGCCCCCCAGTGCAGGCGTTACTCATATCGGGGAGGGGAGAAAAAAAAAAGCACAAAAAGGCCAATGCCCGATGCAAAATGTTGGTTTAACAGAGATGTTTCCACTACAATGCCCAGATATCCCAGTGACGGAGCCAGACAGCAGCCTGCACACAACTCCCACCGCCCGGGACAGGCAAAATCTCCCCCTCGCAACCTCCATCCCCGCTCCGGGCTGCTGCCCCCTCCTCCCCGCTCCTTTCCCAACAGCCTCTTATCCTCCCAGCATTTGGTGCTAAGAGACTTGCAGGAGGCAATTAAGCTTTTATCTGTAATCCCACTCAGCCCCATCACTCCGGCGTTCACTCGCTTCCCGAATGGGACATCCCTGACATCCAAATCAAACCAGAAAAACCCTCTCGGCGAGACAGCTTGCTCGCCGTCCTGCCGCTCCGAGGCTTTGCGGCCCCACCAAGACCCTGGAAAAGACTGGGTAAGGCGCCAGCCGCGCCAGGTGCTGCCCCTTCTCCCCCCCTTTATCCATCCACACTTACTCGGAAATATCCGAGTAAGGGTCCTTGCACCAGGAAATGCTGCCGGCACCGGGGAAAGCCCCGGCAAACAGCAGCATCCCCAGTGCATGGGCTCACCTGCAAGTCTTAACAACACTGAGAGTTTTGCCTTTGAGGTTCAGCAATCAAATGAGGCAAATCACATGAAACTCCCCTCAAATAAACACAGAAATCAAAGAAGGAAATTGCTACCCTCCCCAGCTCAGAAAAAAGCCTGAAAATAGAAATCATGAGCGCCGAAGGCATCGTTTATGCCCCTCCATATGTTTTAGAGGGGCTTCCTGAAAGCCCAGTTCCCATAGGGTCGGGATACCCTTAAAACCCTGGTGTTTGCTGGATCCCCTCTGTCACCTGCCTCTCCACAGCACACGCCAGGGCTGTTGCTTTAAACCTCCCCTGTTTCCAGCCCAAATCAGAAATTACCCGCTACACCAACCACCGTGAAAATGAGCTTTCCCAAACTCACTCACGTACACAAAGCAGCCCACGTTTCCCCAGAGCAATCTCCTGGACCAAAACTCCTGTCCTGGGCCAAATTACTCACTGCTTATCATCTACGAGTTATTTTCAGCGACTGAGCCACGGATGCGGGCACTGGCAATGAAGGAAAAGAGACCTGACCACAAAAGAGCCGTGCAAGGAGGCTGCCCGGGACAGACCTACAGAGGGAGGGGTCAAGCACACAGACAGCACCAGGAGATGTCACTAATAGCTACGGTAAAGCTGTGGCAGCCCAGTTCTATTTGCAGGAAAATGCTTAATTGAAATGCAATGATCCCCCTGGAAGGAAGGGAACTGCCCAGCTTCTGGGGAGAGAAGCCCTTCTGCTGCATCTTATTGTCACATCTTTGTGATAGAGCCCAAAATAGTTGTGGATGCAGGACAGGCCGAGTCCCTGGGTGTGCGGCAGGGGGACAGGCACGCGCTGAGCTCCAACAACAGCGAGGGCAGCCTAAAATCAGCAGGGGTAGGGGCTCTGCAGGGGGAAAATTGGCTCCCAAATGGGGTGCGGAGTGCCCCCAGGGAGCGGCACAGCTTCCTGACCCGAGCGAGCATCCCTGCACAGTGCTGTGCTCACAGTCACGCCAACGCGCCTTTGGGCAGCATGCCTTTGGGCAAGCCCTGGTCCTGCCGGGGGACCCCACGGGTGCCCCTCGGGGCTCCCCCTCCGTCCCAAGCTCCCCTGGGCAGCACAGTGGGATCCAGATTAAGTGCTGGAGCGGGTGGGCAGGGAGCCATGGGTCAGCCTACCCACCCACCCACTCACCACGGTGGCGGCAGCACCTTATGCCAGCTCCTAATCTGCTCTCCAGAAGTGAGGCCGGGGGGTTAGAGGGCCAGCGGCCGGGGCACGGCTGCAATAATACTCTTGGGCTCCAATTGCTTCATAAATCTTTCCAGATTCCCTTTCTGGGACTGTAGGAGGTTGATGAGGCTGAATTATTGAAGCTACTGAAGTTTTCCAAGCATACAGTGAATATAGGGGGACATTTTCTAAGCCAAGAGTATCAGCAGGTTAAAGAAGGAGAGAAAAGGGCAGGTTAAAAGCGGGGTTTGGGGCACGTCTGCACAGCCTGCTCTGGGCTTTCGGCTGCTGTAACCAAACACCCTCCTATAAAATCAACAAAGTCCTCAGGGGATTTCAAGGAAATCTATTGTTTCCCTTTTTAAGGTTAAAAAAAAAACATGCCTGGGCTTTTCGGCTGAAGAAAAGGGGCTGGGTTTGAGTGAAGGCTTTAGGAATAGAAGAGGTGATCAGTGCTACGTTATTCCAACAGCAAAAGGAGTCTGCAGGCAGCAGGGCTATAGGGGGTCACCGTATATATACATACGTTGCTCAGAGGGCGCCTGCAGTTCCCTGGGATGCTGCTCATCTGCATCCGCGGAGCCGAATCCTGCTCCCACGGGGCTTCCCCACCAGATTGCTTTGCCTTATGATGGGGCAAGGTGATTTTTTAATCATGTGCTGCCCACATCTGGGGGGGGTCCGCAGCTGTTTGTGTGGCAAGCGGGGAGTTGTTTTCCAAACAGAAACTCTAGAAGAACAACTACAAATGAAGTGGATACTCCAAAAAAAAACCTGTTATAACAGAGAGCTCGACTCAGGGTTTTTCTTGGGATCGGGAAGGTTTTGCTCCTTTCCGGTGCCTTTGAACACAGGGCCTTGCAGGATGGTGTATAAAGGCACTAAGGCTTCTTAAATAAATGCTGTCCCATTCCACAGCTGGTCGAGGAATTAGTCTGAGGCTTAGGCTTAAATTTTCATGTGAACCCTCTGCCCCTTTCTGTGCAAGCATTTGCCTCTGGAGCCGCTCTCCCTGTCTGTTGTATCTTAACTTTCATTTTAAAGCCCTCGTTAGAGCAGCTTTGCAAAGCTGATGAAAATGTCTTTGCCATTTTTCCCTGTTTTGCGACAAAATGAAATGCATCAAAGTGGAAGGTTTTGAAGAAAACCCTCAAAGCCCTCAAAATAAAAAAAACCAAACCAACAATCCTTTTATTTTCTTCACTTTTTCCCCCTGAAAACGGCATTTCCCCAAAGAGCTCTAGGGATTACCCCAGGACATAAATCATTTCCATAATCAGGAGCAAGCAGAGCACCGGCTCGCTGGGGCTGGGGCAGGGGATGCAGAAGCTGTCCCCTCGCAGAGCATCCCCCCAAAGCAGCGATGCTGCTCCCCCCTCCTCTCACCAAAACCCCCACCCTGGGAGCATTTTGATCCCCAAAAGGATGAACTCACTTAGGCATCCTTCTCTCATTGTAAAAGCTCGGGGCTGATTTGCCAGCCTAGGAGCAACAGGGGGGCAAAGGAGGAGGCTGAGGTTTGGCTGTGACCCCACGGATCCGTGGGGAAGGGCGTCCTGAGCAAGAGGGAGAAGCAAGCAGCCAGAAAACCCGTGGGAGCCAAGACACAACCGAAGGGCGTAGACTCCTACCAGGGATCTCCAATCAGGCCCGGGAGGCTTGGCTGCCTGCCGTATAAATGCAGAGCCGGGTGGGTGGGAAGCCAGCGTGCCTCTGGGCAGGGAGAGGAAGAGGAGGATGAGTGCCAGGGTGCTCCCCGCAAGGAGGCAGAGAGCACCCAGCAGCACCTCAGCAGGGATGAGCTGGACCCCAACGACAGCCCAGCAGACCATGCCCGTCTCCTCCAGGCCCCGGACATCCTTCCTCATCCAAGACATCCTCTGGGGTGGGGCAGAGCGGGGAGCGCAGCCGGAGCGGGGCAAGAGCGGAGGGTTTGGCAGCCCGGAGGACGAGGAGCCGGGGGCAGCCACAGGGGAGGGCAGGGAGGGCAGCGCGGCCCCGGGGGCTGCCCCAGGGCACCCCCCCGGGAGCCCTTGTCCCCCAGGAGCATCCCCAGCCCAAGCCCGAGGGACACCCCACGAGGCGGACGCAGGTAAGGGGGTGGACGCTCCTGGCTGAGCCCGCTGGCCAGGGAATGGATCAGCAATGTCTACGCTTGGGTCAACCAAGGGGCAGGATCCTGACCCAGCTGCCTCGAGCACCCCAGAGCCAAATGAGCCCTGTTTAAATACCAGGGAGCATCTGTGCCTTAGGAGTGGGAAAGTAAGAGAAATAGTGACTGCGTGCAACCCTTTTGCCAGGCACTTCAAATAACTCAAAAGACTGAATCTGCCTAAAATTCTGTTTAAATAAAGCCCAGTCGATGGATTTCTGCGATATCTTGGGAAATAAAGTTCCCTTTTAATGCAGAAGGTCCCCAGCAAGGGCACCTTGGGGCTGCCAGCTCAGAGAGGCTGTTCGTGCCCGTCCTTCGCACAGCCGTTAGCGCGGTGATGCCGCCGCAGCCGAGCTCCTCGGTGTCTCCGGTCCGGGGATATTTTGAAAGTCCCCGTGTTGAATTTGTGCCGTCTGCAGCAGGGCTCAGCTTTCCTGCGTGCTCGGCAGGGTGCTCCCGCCTGTACCGCTGCGCATCGCGCGGTTTATTAATAACGATCCTGCTCCTCTTGATACAACGCTACCAGCACCCCTTTCTAGCATGCAACTGCTAAATTCATTGCAGGCAATAACGTTTCGCTGCAGAAGCAACATACCAAAAATCACACTCAGAAACAAATGTTTTTTTGACCAGTGCCTCTCTCATTGCGGCAGCACGAGCACGGCCGGGGCTGCGGGAGGGGACTCAGCTTTTCCTTGCCCAAGCAGTCCTGGGCTGAGCTGCAACAGCCAAAAAAGCAATTTTGAACTCTCTAGCGACCGGCTCTTGCTTGCTAAGAGAGCCCTTGCCAGGGGAATTTTGGCTTTACGTTTCAAGTCTATTAAAAGAAGCTTCTACATAAAAGCAAGTTCAGAAACAGCCATCAGGCTGATTATTACGAAAATCATTAAAAGCCGTACCAAATCTCCCAGAAAGTGGCTAGTGTAAATCAGCGCAGCTCCAGGGATTTCAGTGGGACAACCATGATTTACACAAGCTGGGAATTAAGCCCATTGTTTCTATCTTGAGCATTATGTGCACATCTTAAGAAAATATACTAAGAAAGGACTGAAGGAGAAAAAAAATGGCCTATTTCCATCCCAAGCTGGGGAACGCACAAAAAGGAACTAACTGCATAGATAAATTGACTTCAGAAGTTCTAACAGTTATAGGTGACGCTTCCCGGGGAGCTCAGCACCTTTCTGGGTCGCGGCTGAGGTGGCCCACCGGTGCCACGAGAAATACGTCGGCGGCAAACACTGAGATGCTGCTTTGGAGCTGTGATTCGAGGCCAGGTCTGCAGCTATATATGTAGACCCAGGCCTGAAGGTTTAAAAATCTGCCCCAAAATTTCTTGGCTTTGCCTTGGAGTCGTGAAAGAGAAAAGGGAGGAATTTATTTTCAATGCTTTCTAACTGCAGTCTGCTTTAAGCTGCACGGATTTCCCATTTCTGAGCCATCCTCTGTAGCCTGAGGATAAAAATGTGTTTTCTTTGGGGATCAGGATTTCCCCAAAGGCACGGCAGAGAGGATGTTTCAAAGAAGTGCCTAACAGTACGAATTCTGCAATAAAAATCTCAAGAGCTGTCGATGCCATAATGTACGTAACAACAGTACCTAGAGGTTTGAGGCAGACCTCCACCAGCATTGCAAAATATCCCTTTCTGTATTATTTTAATCCATTGAATGTATGTTCATACTGAACGCATGCTTATATGAATTAAGAAAGTGTGATTTAGGAAGTAAAAACTCCCTTAACATGGCTTTAAGACAGCATTTGCTCCATTAAATGAAAATATTTCCAAGATAATGCAAATATTTTGCTCTCCGGAAGGGAAAAAGCAAGTGATTTGGGCAATTTCCAAGCGGGTAATTCTCAGCTCTTTCCTCTCGCAGATGCCACGGCGGAGACCTACCTGTCAGACTGCGACCCCCCGCTGCGAGCCCTGCCCAGCGCCCAGCGCCCCCCCAAGCAGGCGAAGCGCTCGCGGGCGGCGTTCTCCCACACCCAAGTCGTCGAACTGGAGCGGAAATTCAGCCACCAAAAATACCTGTCGGCCCCCGAGCGAGCCCACCTGGCCAAAACCCTGCAGCTCACCGAGACCCAGGTGAAAATCTGGTTCCAGAACAGGAGGTATAAAACCAAGAGGAAACAGGTCGCCTCCGAAATCAGCAGACTGGACACGCGTCTGGCTGGGCAGAAAGCGGCCGAGCTCCCCGGAGCGTCGCTGCTCGCGCTGCGGGGCGGCTGGCAGTACCTGCCTTTCCTCTACTACTTGAACGGCTGGAGTCCCTCGTGGTGGTAACTGCTTTTTTAAGCGGAAAGCAGCCTTTTACCTTAAAATGGTGGTTGTTTTTTTATTAATACTGCATCGCTCTTTCTAGTACTAATTAGGAGAGGGAGACCCCATTCGCAGTAATGATCAGCATCTTCTAGTTGCCGCACAAGCCTCTCTCATTGCTAACAGTAAAAAAAAAAAAAACAAAAAAGCCAAAAAAAGCCCAAGATTTTAAAAGTGTGTAATTCAGCACGCTTGACAGCACAGCTCTGGGGTCGATCTGCAGCTGTAAAATATTGCTGGCTCTTTCGGGGGCAGAAAGCAAGGGACGGTCCAGCCCCGGAAACAGTGATCGCCCCTCTCTACCCCTTCTAAATCGCCTGCGCCCCCCTGAAGCCTTTGCCCCTTGCTGAGATCGAGCAGGCAAAAAGCAAACTGCTGATCCTGGGCTGGCACTGATATGGCCCCAGCTCGGCCACTTGGGCCACCAGCTGTTGTATGATCTAAAAATTAGGCTTAAAAAAAAGAAAAGGCAAAAAAAAATTGCATT